CAGTCACTTCTCAGCCGCTGAATCCACTTCTTCAGCTCTGCTGTCACATATTAGAAGGGGTTTTTTTCCTCTCCTTAAGGTTTATAAGAATGGCTCTATTCATTCCAAAAAATAGTAGAAGGAGTTTCCCTGTTATAACGAGCTCTAAATTATGTGTGTATAGATATATGTGCAAATATATATCTATACATACACACAATATAACAATACATTCGTATATGAATATTAGAATATATGTGTGGTATGTTAGAGTAAAATAAGTTAAATAATATATCTTACCTTCCTAACTTTATGAAACTGGCCCTCTAAGCTTTGTATTATGTAATCATTCATTCAACCAATATGTGAAAATCACTATTTTAGATACTCATTGGTAAACGGGAAGCAGATCTGTCCCCTGCCACAGTAGAAAAGATAGACAGACATAATCTGCCACTACTGCCCCAGGGTTCCCTGGGCCTTCCCTCATCATGGGTCTGTCACCTGTGCTCTACCTCATGGAAATTACACAAGTCATCCCTACTGCATGCAGAGCACAGAGCAAAGAACGGGGTAGGTTTCACCTTTCCAGGACAGAGGGAATGAGAAATAGGACGAAAAAGAAAGGCGAATGAGCTTCAGATACAGGTAACCCCTGAAATGCAAGCACCTAAATTCTGTTATGCTTTGCTTACAAACATCCACTCTGTAGTGCTACGGGAAAGCGGGGTGAGGAGGGCGCGCCCTGTCTATGCCATGATTACAGAAGAAGAAGAACCCTGTCTAATTCACGGGCAAGCACACAGGAGGGAAGGGCCCCAGGCAGGCCCTGTGCATTTCATCTTCACTCACCTTCACCTCTTTTCACTCTCTCTCAGCTTAATCATAAGGGTGGTGTCTGACTGAAAAGGTACTTTTCTCCCTGCCCTTCCTTGCCAACTGTTCCTTCCCCACCCCTCAAAGTAATGCTGTTTATTGACAAGTATTTATTATCATAATTGCCTGATAATTATGGACTTTGAACCTGATGACTAAATCTTGAAGCAATTGATGAGGTTTTTGCCTAGAAGACAGTTCTGGTGCTGGACGAAAGGACAGTAAGGCAGAGATCTCCTGCACACAACTTGGACCTCTAGGCTCCTCTCTTCTGGTATAGCCGTGCAGGATGGGTTGTGTCTCGGGGCCTCCTGGCTTCCATAGGCCAGGGTCTGACATGAACAACAGGGAGTGGCTATGGAGAGGGGAGAAAACCAATTTCTCCCCGTTTCGCCTCCACCTCCCACCCCAGTCATGCAAGGGAGATGGAGTAACAGTCCATGAAGGCCCTTTAAAACAATAAGGTTTTTTTTAATGTTTAAGTTTCTGTTATAGAAATTTTCGAGCTTACTCACAAATAAATAGTATAATGGGCAGAGAGAAAAAAAATGGCATAGATAATAGAGGCTCTGTTCATCCCTCTGGCGACCAAATCAAAGTTGTGACAGAAACAAGAAGCAAACAGCAAGGAAAATCGCCTGGGATCTAGATGAACAAGCCATACAACCAGGGAGAAATCTAAGAAATCACCCTGCAATGGCAGAAGGTAGGATGGATCAAGGATGTGGGCTGTGGGTTTTGAGCAGCTGAGTGGGACAGAGGCTGCAGCCATGGCAGCAGCATACACCTCTTAAAGGGGCCGCATCCGCGAGCAAACTTTCTCAGTGATGGACCTGCTCGCTCTGAGCACCAGTGCCAATTCAGCTGCACGCAGGGGGCACCAGGGACTTACAGGAGGACAATGAGTTCTAGAGTGAGGGCTGAGGTGAGACTCACTATGTACAGAAGTGCTAGTGGCATCCAATTCTTCTGTTGAGCCCTCCTCCCTCCCAGTGCATGGACACAGCACCGCCATAGCCTTGACATCATCAAACTGGACAACAGAGGTCGCTCCGCCCAGAGGATTCCTTAAAACTCCACCTCCCCCAACTCACAGCCCCACCCAAGCCACATCCAGGTGTGTCCTCGCTTACTCAAGTGCCCCTTGCTGAGCAGCGCCTAGACTCACACTGGTGGCAGCTGGCCTTGGTTTCCTGTGTGGTCTTTTGAGGCAACTATAAGCACAGCATCTATGGATTGCTTGCTGAATCTTAACAGGTGGCCCTGGAGGGGCATAGGCTGGGGCTAAACTTGGCCTACAGCTGAACCCCTCTCAGGACTGGGCCACCAGACACTTACCACACAAAGCCACCCTAAGAATGATATTAATGATATTATAAATGGGAAACACATACATTTATAAAAATAATTTGACAATATCTACTAAGAGTCTTAAAAATGATCATTCATAAAGTCACTCTACAAAGACAGGGAGACTCAGGAGCCCTACCTAACACATAGAAACAGACACAAGGAGGCAGCCAAAATGGGAAGACAAAGAAGCATGTCCCACATGAAAGAACAGAACAAAGCTCCAGAAAAAGAATTTGCTGAAATGAAGATAAGCAATATACCAGTTGCAGAGTTCAAAACAGTGGTTATAAAGATGCTCAACAAACTTATTGGAAGTATAGATAAATTCAGTGAGAACTTTAACAAGGAGATAAAAAACATAAAAATGGAAATGGCAATTATAAAAGGGAACCAGTCAGAAATGAAGAATACATTATCTGAGATGAGAAGTATATGAAATGGATAAAAGTGAATAAAGAAGAGGATAAAATGACCTATATAGAGGATGGGAAAGCCAAGAATGACAAGAAAAAATAAGCCAAGACTACAATAATAATTTAAGGAGCCTATAAGACACTATTAAAGGTAAAAATATCTGTGTCATAGAGATAACAGAAGGAAAACAAGATGTTAAAGATGTTCAAGAAATAATGTGGAAAACTTTCTTAACCTGGTGAAGGAAACAGACATAAAACCCTAGGAAGCTCAGAGAGTCCCAAAAACCAGGAACCCAAGAAGGCCCACAACAAGACACATTATAATTAAAATGCCAAAGGTTAAATACAAAGAGAGAATCTTAAAAGCAGCAAGAGAAAAGCAGATAGTTACTTACAACGGAGCACCCATAAGACTGGCAGCTGATTTCTCAAAAGAAACTATGCAGGACAGAAGGGCTTGGCACAAAATATTCAACATGACAAAAACTCAGGATCTACAACCAAGAATACTTTATCCAGCAAAGCTGTCATTTAGAGTTGAAGGACAGATAGTTTCCCAACAAAAATAAGCTAAAGGAATTTATCAGCACCAAGCCAGTAGTACAGGAAATGTTGAAGGAGCTTCTTTAAGAAGAAAAAACATGTATCAAAAACAGGAATAAAAAAATGATAACAACTACATTCCTATCAACAAGTACCTCAAATGGAAAAAAATTAAGTGCTCCAACCAAAAGATAGATGGATAAGAAAACAAGACCCCTACATATGCTGCCTAAAAGAGACTCACTTCAGGTTAAAAGACACACACAGACTAAAAGGAAGGGAACAGAAAAAGATATTGCCTTGATGGACCTCGAGGTTATTGCGCAGAATGAAATAGGTCGGATAGAGAAAGACAAATATCGCATGATTTCACATACATGTGGAATCTAAAGAACAAAATCAACAACAATAACAACAAAGGCAGAAATAAACTCAGATACAGAGAATATTTAGAGGGATACTAGATGGGAGGGGTGGGGGGAAAAGGCAAAGGGATTAAGAGGCACAAATGGATAGTTGCAGAATAGACATGAAGATGTAGTGTGTAGCATGGGGAAGATAGTTAATAATGTAATAAATATGTAAGGGGGAAGAAGGGTACTAGATTTAATGGGGTGATCACTTTGTGACTTACGTAGATCTTTAATCACTATGTTGTATAACTGAAACAAATATATTATTGTATGCCAACTATAATTGAAAAAAATGTAAATACAAGCAACTAATTGTCTATTATATTTCAATAAAGCTGAGGAAAAAAGAAAGAAAGAAACAATGCTCAAATTCACTAGCCAT